TCGTGATGGCACCTAGTCTCTAAACTAGGTAAGCCTAACATTAACTGAAATAACATTGACATTTGCCAACTTTAAATTCAATAACTCTTAACAATTTACAATTCCCAAAACCGGTGGTACAAGTCACAAGCCTTTCTAAGAGTAGTTATACAAAATAAGTACATCACTGTTCCGAAACAAAGGGGACAAGTGGAAATAAGTACAATTTAAGGTGACTCCGAGGACTGCGAACGCTGCAACAGGTTTACCTTGAGTCTCCACCGCAACGAACAGTTACTATCGATCAAATACCTGGATCTGTACACAAAAATGTACATAAGTGTAGTATCAGCACAACTGATCCCATGTGATGGTAAGTGCCTAGCCTAACCTCGGCGAAGTAGTGACGAGGCTAGGACCAGACTACCAAATAAACCTGTGCAATATAGCGTACAAAAATAATAGGAAGCAGATAACAATGATGGCAAAAATGATCAACCAGTGATATAAATAGCAGGCAACAAGAACACCATAAATGCTTCTCAACAAAAATAAATAAATACAAGTGCAATAAATTAATCAAGTCCTTCAAATATAAATCTTTCGCCTATAAATCCTTCAAGTAATAATCTCTAAGATATAGTGCCCACATATTTCTGTCTCATATTGCACAACAATATTCTCATATTACTCAGGAGTATTCACATAAGTAGATTTTAGGATTACAAAGTTCACTCATGAGTGGAGGATAGTAGGAGGACTTGCCTCGATACTCAGAACCGAATCAAGTTAAGAAAATTGTTACTTTATAATAACTCGAGATCGTACTTGCAATGACACCATCTGATGTAGCGACCTCAGCTATACCATAGCAAATAAATCAATGGGTCGGGCCTCCACCTCTTAGGCTCCATCTACCCTCTTTTTCCTCCACCCTTAATTGGTAGTGTAAGTAGAGTAATAACTGTAATGGAGTACGTGTCATGTGTGCTCTGATGGAGTAGATTTCTCCAAGTCTGGGACAATTTCTCATGATGTTCCTAGCATCACCATATTCATAACAACCAATCTGCGGTCCAATTGCTCATACTGAGTTTATACTGGTTAACTAGGATAACCATTGTAGGAATTCTTTACCAGTGGTGCATTAAAAGATGATTGCCCCACGTAAGTGCCCTGATGAACTGGAGCACTATGAGTATTCTGAAATTGTTTCCATTTCCCTGCTGATACTGAAATGTAGAATTAGTAAGGACGCAGGAATATCTCAACTCTCATCATCATCCCGTTCAAATCTTAGCTCTTGATCATATACAAGTTTTGGAAAACCTTTTAATACCACACAAATACATCTCAGGCCAAAATTGGTATAACACACGACCCCGCAATCTGATCGTTGATATTTGACTTCCCCCATTTGGTGCGAAATCATAAGACACATTCCCGATGATCCACGATACTAACCTTCATCGCTCATACGATACCAGTCATAAGACACCTCAAGCCATTTACTTGGCACTTGTCACCCTCATGACAGTCAAACTTACTTCCTCCAGTGTCTCGGCTTGCTAGTAAATACTATTCTCTAAATAAAAATCCCATACAAAACACATAGTCTCTAATACGACTAACTATTGTTTTTAGATCTACATCCACCTGTGATGATTAGGCAACCAACTAAACCTTCTTAAGATTTTACTTATCAATCAGGCGTCAAAATCGGATGCACCCCCATGCGCACAACTGAAAGATCTCTCTGCACTTCTATATCATCGATTCTGAACGACACGTGGTAATAATGGGTGAGCAACCCTGGCTCTCTTATAACCCTTTTTACGGTATCACAACCCATTGGCGTATTGCGCAATTCCCTACATGAGTGGATGCAAAAGAACATAAGATATATGCTTCAAGCTGAATAAATGTCGCACGATAAGGAATGAATGAAGTAGAAATTTTTCCAACTAGTTCTGTATCCTCTCGAAGATAAGTACAGACGTCTCCGTACCGATCCGCAAGACTCTACTAAACTCGCTTATGACTTGTAGCACCTATGAACCTAGAGCTATGATACCAACTTGTCACGACCCAAAAATTCCTCCGAAGGAGTCGTGATGGCACCTAGTCTCTAAACTAGGTAAGCCTAACATTAACTGAAATAACATTGACATTTGCCAACTTTAAATTCAATAACTCTTAACAATTTACAATTTCCAAAACCGGTGGTACAAGTCACAAGCCTTTCTAAGAGTAGTTATACAAAATAAGTACATCACTATTCCGAAACAAAGGGGACAAGTGGAAATAAGTACAATTTAAGGTGACTCTGAGGACTGCGAACGTTGCAACAGGTTTACCTTGAGTCTCCACCGCAACGAACAATTACTATCGATCAAATACATGGATCTGTACACAAACATATACAGAAGTGTAGTATCAGTACAACCGACCCCATGTGCTGGTAAGTGTCTAGCCTAACCTCGGCGAAGTAGTGTTGAGGCTAGGACCAGACTACCAAATAAACCTGTACAATATGGCGTACAAAAACTATAGGAAGCAGATAACAATGATGGCAAAAATGATCAACCAGTGATATAAATAGCAGACAACAAGAACACCATAAATGCTTCTCAATAAAAAAAATACAAGTGTAATCAATTAATCAAGTCCTTCAAATATAAATCTTTCGCCTATAAATCCTTCAAATAATAATCTCTAAGTTAATATGCTTTTCAATAAATATATTTCTAATATATTTCCTTCAAATAAGTATCTTTCAAATAAGCATCTTTCGAATATAATTCTTTCGAGTAAAGGTCACCTTGTGACGCCTCATTTCATAATCATAGATAATATAGGTCTCAGCCCACTTTCATATTTTCATGGCACCTCGTGCCACATATTTTTGTCTCATATTGCACAACAATATTCTCATATTACTCAGTTCATAGGTTCCATAACCCAATACAATTAAGAATGTTCAAGGAGCCTCATTCACTTAACATAAAGTAGAGTACAGCCCCCAACCCAAATAGAAAATCAACAAGAAAAGATGAAGTTATTTTTAGAAATCATTTGATAAAGAAAATACCCATTTCAATTAAAGTACAATATCAAATGAATCATTTCCTTTAATACGAGAAATCAATAAATCAAGACATAGAAGGAATTTCCTTTTAAGTAAAGTACAACCTCAAACGGTTTAAGGAAAAATTTAGTTGAGAAATCAATTGAGTTAAAAATGTAAAATTTATTGAAATATGAAGTATTGAACATATAAAAAAAATAAGGCGAGTTATTGTAAACACTATGGATTCCAACACAAAGGATCACAACAGTAAAGAGATCTAAATAGTTAATACACTTTAATTGTTAATAACAAGTAAACACATCAAATAGAAAGTGCACGGCATCACCCTTCGTGCTTTAACACTCTCTCACCAAAACAATACACAGCATCACCCTTCGTGTTTTAACACTCTCTTACCAAAATAATACACGGCATCACCCTTCGTGCTTTACACTCTTCCTCACCCAAGAAACAAACACAAGGCAAATAGGGTAAGTGAATCTATAACATCAAAATAAAATCCCGACAACAACAGAAAATTAGTAAATAAATGTAAAGGAGAACATAACTCAATTAAAATCAGGAAAAAATCAAGGATAAGTGCACGACATCACCCTTCGTGCTTTTACTCTCATCCTCTCCATAAGAATCAATATAAACTGCACGACATCACCCTTTGTGCTTTTACTCTCAATATAATAGGCACGGAATGGTACATCGTGCGGCACGGCATCACCCTTCGTGCTTTACATTCTTTCCTCAAAAATCATACACGACATCATCCTTCGTGCTTTAACACTCTTCCTCACCCAAACAACAATTACAAGAAATAAGGGCAAGAAAATAAATAAAATCACTATAAAATCCCGGCAAGGGAACAATAGTACAACAATCAAATCCCGGCAAGGGAAACAACATCAAAACAATAACATCCCGGCAAGGGAGACAATGTCATGATTCTCTCTCTTCTTTATTCACAACTTGAGTCAATGCTCTACAATGTTTAACAATTCAATTGTCAACTTGAGCCAATGCTCTATAACGTTCAACAATTTTATTCTTAACTAGAGTCAATGCTCTACAATGTTCAACAATTTAATTCTCAACTTGAGTCAATGCTCTATAATGTTCAACAATTCAATTGTCAACTTGAGCCAATGCTCTATAATATTCAACAATTTTATTCTTA